TTTAGTTGATGGTAATTAAAAATATTATTTTTTTAAAACATTTAAAAAAAACTTTGATTTCAAATTTCAAATTACGAAATATTATAAATGTTTAATTTTTGTACATCGAAAAGCTCYGCTTAGATGATGAAATTGGAGTGTATTTAAAGTACATTAAAAAGGTATCACTTGAATAATCTTCTGTTAAAAAAAGGAATTATTGATATTACGAACAACTTAAATCAAATCTACACTATACTAGAACAGTTCTATATTAGTTACTAATATGTTTTAGATTCTGAGCTTAGCGATGAATGTATTAATTTTACAATCGTTTTTATTTGTTATTCTTCACTTTTTAAAGCCATAAAAATGCTTCGAATTTTTCTACTCGGGTGGGTCTAAAGTAAAAAAACTTCCCAATAGTTTTCAAAAGTACCTGGAATAAAAAAGAGAAGTGGGTACCACTCTATATATATTATAGATGTGTTAAATTTGAATTAATGAAAGGTGTTATCGTACACGAAAAACGATTCTGAACAGAGATGATTTGTCAGTCTAGGATATATTATACTAGGTACCTATATTTAAATTATGATATATTTTTATTCGCTCACAAATGATTTTTATTTTGACTCTGGAGTTTTCTTCTTACRGTTAATTGAAGAAAATGTTATGGAGAAACATTGTGACTAATGATTTTTTTATTATTTTTTTATTACGATAATAACAACTTATTATAATTGTTGTATTAAATTTTAAAATATTTTTGATMGACAAATTTTTTTCACAGACATTCAAAAATAAAAAACTTAAAAATCCAAAATTTAATCGTAAATAGATAAGCTTAATATAAAAATTTAGTGAAATATTCTAGTATTTACAATAATTCGTTTTTGAGTTACAGCAAAATAAAAAAATTGATTTCGCCAAAAACTAATGAGGCGTAAAATTCCCATTTTTTTTGTTACTATTTTGGGGTTTGTCCCCTTTCCTGACACTTTTTAAAACTACTTGCAATATTTTACTTCTGATCCCCAAAGTACCAACTATATGAATTTTCTTTTTCAAAGAGGGATTGAAGTCGAAAATCAAAGCATTATTTTTCCTCCAAAATGTGATGACAGACCTTCAAAAAAACATACATCATTGTAAAATCAATAATAATACTGTTACTTAAAAAACTTTTAAGAAACCTTGAATTGTATTTTAAAATTTTTTTACAAAATTT